ATGTGTTTTGAGCTTGAAACTCCAGAAATGGTGATGTGCTCTGGGGTAAACCCAATAGGTTAAGAGAGAGGAGAATGTTTTTTCTACCCACTTTCTGGGGCAAAAACAAATAAATAAGAATGTCAGCTTTGGATTCGCCTGCGTGGTTAAAAAAAGGTGAGTCATTTAATTTAGTTTAGGCTATTGTGTTTCACTTTGCCACTGTTGTGGTTATAGTGACAGCCTGTGCCATTTAGTTTTGCAGCAACATTTTAGGTATAACAATGGGATGAATAAGAATTGGATGGGCTGCCCCCAAACTCACTCTGACCAAATCTCATTGCATGGAAGAGATGATAAAGTTGACTTGGGGGTGGAGGGTGGGGTTCAATAATGCAATATTCATAGGTTAAGTAGACCACCATGATGGCTGGTGTAACAGAAGAAGAAAGGGACCTCATTTAAGCACTCCACAATACTGCTAGCACATTGCTAACTACTAGCCACAATTTAAAAAGCTTCAATGCTAAAAGTAAATCACTAACTAGCAGCAAACAGAAATACTTAAATGCTGACATGAAACAGCTAACTAGCGGAAATTAGAAATATTTCAATGCTGACAATAAATTACTAATTAGCAGCATGTTAAAAATCCAGCACAGCTATTAGTAAATTGCTAACTAGCAGTAATTTTAAAATGCTGCTAGTAAGTTAAACATCCAAGGCCCTATAGCCGACAAATGTTATCCATGATGAACAAAGGCTACTAGAATCATTAGGATTAAAACCTGATTGGACACCATCAGGAAACAATAGAACCTTTAAAACGTTTCTATTTTTTTAGCAGGGATGGCTCGCAATCAACGCTGGATTTAAATAAAGTGGTACATAACTTCAAACAAGATGCCATTATTAATATGTGAGTAAATAAACTGTGATAACAATAGGAGTTTATAAAGTTAATACAGTGTTCTTTTTCTGTATAACTCAGTGGGATTCAGACAGATGAGTTTGCAGGGACTCCTGAACACCTGCATGCTGCTCTACATGGGACACCTTCTGGAGCTGTTTCCTGAGTGCAGAATATAAAATGATGAAGTGTTTAAACAATATCATCACTAGATTCAGACAAAGATATAGTATGATTCTCATTTCATCACAGTCGTATCGGGTTTTCCACAGGTTGCAGTGCAAATCAGACAGATTTCTGAACACAGTGAACTCAGACTTCATATGGAATAATGGACATTTAAAAGATGCTCTTGCCATCCATTCCCTGAGAAGGTCAATTAACCATGAAGTGCTAGGGAAAGTGCTCACCCTGAAAATGAGTCTGTTCTGCCCTCTAGTGTCTTTAAAGGCAGCAAACATGGACCTCCCTGAATTATAGTGATAGGGTAAAACAGAGCAAAACTCTCATCGTTAGGATGACATACATTTAATATAACAGACGAATAAAATGCAAATATAGATGAATGAGTAAATTCTTAAATGAGTTGGCATCAGAATTGGCCCACATATAATTTTCACTCATCTCATCAGCTCTTCAAATTTATTTGTGTGTAAGAAGTGATGTATCTATATCTATACTGGTAAAGCATATGAGCACACATTTATGACATAATGCCTATTAAATAGCAATGTCCCTGTTGCCCAGTGTTCTGTTTTTGTTCTTTAATTCTGCTTTGTGCACTTCACTTATGCTTTCCAGGCTCCGACAGCTGACATTTAAATGTGTGTCATTTACTGAATCCTTCAGAATGTTTTGAAAGAACAATTTAAAATCCATTAAAACTAAACAAATAGTAAGTTTCCTTTTCTTAAATGTGGTTTGTGTCTGGGTAATGTTTCCAACACTGTGTCAGGCTTCCTTTGATGTCATTTTAACAGAACAGCCAATAAAAACAAACTGTCTGGTTCGTAAGACATTCTTTTAGTGAAGAGCACCAGCACTCAGGAAACATTTTCTTCAGTGATGATAATATTTAATGGCAACTTAATTATGATATACTCACGAAGTGTCATGGCATTGAATTTTATTCCCATTTATGTAAACCTTAGACATATACACCAATCAGGCATAACATAATGACCACCTCCTTGTTTCTACACTCATTGTCCATTTTATCAGCTCCACTTACTATATAGGTGCACTTTGTAGTTCTACAATTACAGATTGTAGTCCATCTGTTTCTCTGCATACTTTGTTAGCCCCCTTTTACCCTGTTCTTCAGTGGTCAGGACCCCTATAGACCCTCACAGAGCAGCTACTATTTGGGTGGTGGATCATTCTCAGCACTGCAGTAACACCGCCGTGGTGGTGGTGTGTTAGTGTGTGTTGCGCTGGTCTGAGTGGATCAGACACAGCAGTGCTTCTGGAGTTTTTCACTGCTGGACTGAGAATAGTCCACCAACCAAAAATATCCAGCCAATTGCGTCCTGTGGGCAGCGTCCTGTGACCACTGATGAAGGGCTAGAGGATAACCAACACAAACTGCTAACGTTGTGGGAAAACTAAAATAATTCTCCTTTGCAGTAAAATAAAGCTCTGCTGATCGTTCAAACACAGTTTTAACAATAAGAGGTCTTAAACACTGGACTTGTATAATGTATAACTGATAACGTTAATTGACCCGCGTGTGGACTTCTGGTCACTATAGCAACGCAGACAGTCTCTCCTAGCTAGTACATAACAAAACAGTCTCTCCTAGCTAGTACATAACAAAAAGACAAAGAGAAAGATTTAAGATGAACATTGATAATTTGGAGATGAATGGACATGTATAATCACTCTGGTTTCCTAAAACATTTAATCTGCAACGAGAAACTGTCAAACACTAAAAAAGTCGCAAAGCTGAAGTCAGATTTTTGATCGCCGGCTTCTTGTTTGAATTTTCCCGTTCCACCTTAAATGGTGCAGCAGTTATACTCTGGCGCCTCAGGCACCATTTAAGGTGAAATGGGAAAATTTGAACAAGAACCTGCCAAATGAAAGGCGACTTCAGCCTCGTAAAACATCAAACGTTGAGAGATGTTATACAAGAAACTGTTCCACTTTTGTGGAAAAGTTTCCTGCTGGGGACGCAAAAAAAGCAGCTATAGCTGAGCTAAAGCTTAAAGCAGAGCAAAATAAGTCTGCATTTTGATTTATATTATATTTTTTAGCCTGTACTAGCACATCAGCACATACCGAAACATATTTACAGCCAAGATGGTAAAACAGACATAAAATGTTGTGGCTCTCAATGTGGTTTAATTTTTCTTGAAAGGGCAAAATGGCTCTTCTTAACATTTGGGTTGCCGACCCCTGGACTAGGCCTGTTGCACTCTTGAATTACATTGGTTTTATGCGAGATGATTCACAGCCAACCTGCTTGACTGCATGTCCTATAATGCATCTCAAATGTAGAGAAAAACCATGTCTCCCACTTTATGCACTGTAAATTAATCCATACAGTCGTATATATTCAATTCAGTATGGTCATCCTATTACTAACTACTCTAACACTGGTATGTGCTAATTTACCATTAGTAGACTGTAAACTTAAATTAGTTGACTTTGAAAAATCATGCAAACTTATTGCCTCAAAAAAGTAAAGTTACTAAACAGGTTCAAGCTTAATAACTATGCTTGAGTTTTGTTTGAGTTATAGTGGCTTTCTAATTTTCAGTGATCCACACTTCTGCAGCAAATAAGGTTAACAGCCCAGTAATTATAAATAGGTTCCACTGAGCTGGCAGTGATCTACTTTTTCAAGTTCTGCCTTCCAATCAAATACTCACCCCTGTGTAACATATGAGCATCAATTAAAACAACTCCATTACATTACATGGACTGTTTTCCTGAACAGTAAAGAATAAATGGCCTAGATAAGACAAGAATCACCCATTTCTGATGACTCTAATAGCTTAATGCAAGGGTTCTCAACCATTTGTGGCCCAAGGCCCATCTGTTTATAACTATAAAGCATAGCGGCTCACAGACAAACTAAAATCAACTTATTTTAAATAGTTTTCTTTTTTTCTTAATTGCTTTCACTGAAAACCTCTGAATTAGGGCCTGAAAAAGCTTAGAGCATCCATTTCACTTCAGTCACAGAAGCCAAATTTTGCAGATTGGATTGGTGTCACCACAATCAACAACAATGATTAACCTTACTTCATATCTGCTTCTTCGTCATTAGTTTATCAATTTGAGTTAAACTACTCAGATTACTGATGCTCAGCCAAACAGAGCTTCGCTGCTGTTTTACGGCTCGCGGACCACTAGAGGGTGCTTTACGGCCCACTGGTTGAGAAACCCTGGCTTAATGTATATTTGCCGGTCTGTTAGCATCCATAGCTCCACGCTGAACTGATAAACCTGAACATAAAACATCATGACAGATCAAAGTGAACTTTTTGTGTTTGAAGATGAAGACATGATTATTTTATATGTGTATAACTGCTCAAAGCTGTGTTTGCTAGTCATTTATTACAGTCCCGACTGTAATATTTTCATACTTATAATATATAAGTTTCGGTAGTGCTGTGATTGTTTTGGTAGTGACAAAATGGAATATTCGAGAATTTATTTAAATAAAATAAACATAATTAAAGCCACTTAAAGCAAAATGATTTTAGCTTAAGGCAGACATGTCAAACTGAGGACCTTCTGGGCCAAAGCGCTGTGGAGATTAGTGTTTACCCTCATCTAACGCTCTGAATTCAGTTCATGAAGTCCTTGCTAATGAGCTGATGAGCTGAATCAGGTATGTTTAATGAGACAGCGTGCAGAAGTCTGCAGTGTTTTGGCCCGTTAGGACTGGATCCTGACACATGTGGCCTAAGGTCTGAATGAGAGTCAGTTCAGTATAATGGTCCTAGTATAACGGACCTGACTGGACGGCTGGTTGACTCGGCGTGGCTGCAGTTCTCTTTTCCTCCAGCAGATGTCGCCGCTGCGCCTCTCCTGCCGCTCTCACCGTCCTCCGTGATTGGGGGCGAGGCGGGGCCAGCCGCTCGCTCGGTGTAGTAAAGAAAATAGCAGCTCGTTCTCCGCGAGGCGTCGTACGCGAAGCCTCTCCGGTTAAACCGGGATCTCACCGAGAAGATCGTACCATCGCGGGCGAGGACGGCTCGGAGGCGCGCGATGTCCCGGATCTACGGCTGCACCTGGTCTCGAGCTCGCCTGTTCCGTTTGTCCGGACTCTTCATCGCTCACGAATAGCGTCCAACATCAAGAGGAGGAAAACAAAACAAAAGCAGGATCGGCAAAATGAGCGAGGAGGCGTCTCACGTGCCCAAAGAAGTGCTGGGTAAGGGCTGCACGCGCTCTTAGCAGCAAGCGAGCAAACCGGTTCTCTCTGTAATCAGTGTGATCAGTGCGGTCAGTGTGGTCAGTGTGGATTATACCAGCCTGGTCAAGTGCACGATTGTTTTTAACATTAGTTCGATTAGAGCTGTGAAAATGAACGCACTGATTATCTTCTGTGCAGCTTAGCGGTGATCGTGAGCTGTGTGGCCGATGCTGTGCAGGCTGAGGGGGGTTCATTGTGGTGTGCAGTGCTGATCTGCTGATCTGGATGGCGGTGTGTTGGTAGTAGGGTGGATGGTGAGTCGCTGAAGGGCTGGACAGGGAGGGAAGGGTGGGTTCTGCCCACGGCGTGTAGTGTGTGTGTGATGTGGTTGAATGTGGGTCCTGTGTCGTTATCGAGGAGTGAGGAGTTGAGGAGTTATTACAGTCCTTACATCACCGCTGTAAAGCACAGCTGAGCCAGTCAGATCTGAACAGGTTCATCATCTCGTAGTTTGTCTGGTTTGGGACTGAAGTGCAGGGGATCTGCGGAAAATGCTGAGATCTGAAGGCTTCTTCTGATATTTCCTCTTCTCATCTTCCTTCTTCTCCTTATCACCCTCTCATCATCAGTCGTCTCTTTGTCTTTCTTCTTTAAATCACCTTCTCGTCTGAATCCTTCTCCTTTATCTTCTCGCCCACTTATGTTCAGCACTGCTGCTTGCTTCTTCTTTATCTTGTCCTCTGCTACCTTCTGATTTTTCTCGTCCTCTGCGTTCTTCTTCTTTTTTATCATCTTTCTTATCATCATCATCATCATCTTCTTCTTCTTCTTCTTCTTCTTCTTCTTCTTCTTCTTCTTCTTCTTCTTCTTCTTCTTCTTCCTCTTTATCTTCTCGTCCTCTGCCTTCTCCTCCTTCTTATATTTTTATTCAATTGACCATCCTGTCTTGTTCTTCTTCTCACCCCTTCTTCAACTTTTTTCTCATTTGCTTGATCTTATTCTTCTCCTTCTTCCTCTTCTCCTTCATTGTCTTGTTCTCCATTTTTGTCTTGTCATCTCCTCCTTGCGATCATCATCTTTAATAGCAGTGTTTAGTTTTCCTCTTCTCTGCTGTAGGTGCTGCATATTTGAGTCAAACTGTGACTCTGTAGATTCTGAAGCTGGAGGTGATGATTACAGGTGTCTCTGAACAAACCGTGTGGACAGGTTTCCTCTTTACAGACTGAAAGTGTGATTCCAGTGTAACACGTCTGTTGAGAGCAGTTAAGAAAATCCTCATCTTAGCTGCACACAGTCATTAGTGACTGTGATTAGTCATAGTGAGAACTGATGAGGGTCGTTCAGAAGTGCGACCTAAACTCACAGCAATACAGTAACACAGAGGAACAACTCAAGCTTTGAACATTTTCATGACTGTGTGATCTCTACTAAAACGCTTTAGTAAGAGACTTCAGTGTCCTCTTTCAGTGTTATGACTCTCAGTGTCTGTCCATCCGTCCATCCATCCATCCATTCATTCAGAACCTCAAGGTAGTGAACTCCAGTCAGCCGGTCTAAAACCTAGTCTAGCAGTAAATAATGTTAAAGGGGAATCCCACCAATTTTTCTGCATAATTCAATTGCAGAGATGTAAACATTACTCAGAGTGGTCTGATGTGAAATGGTTCGTTAGAAAGAAACTTACTGACTCAGATTTCTTTACAGCGATGATAACAACCAGACATCGCAGTGTTTAGAATGGAAATATAGCCCGTTTTATTTACTATTTCAAACAATCCTGTCTGCTGAGCTTTAATATGTAATGTTGATAATGTTAAAATAAGGGTAAATATAATAAAAAATAAGTCTTTCTGGGGGAATATTTTACCTTATTATACCTGCCGTCAGTGGATTTTAAGAAATAAATTTTAGTCCAAAACCAAACATTTATTTTAAAACTAATGTAAAACAATGTCTCAGGCAGCGTATCTGTAACCAGTTCCTGTAATGACTTTTTGTGGTGTAGCTTTTAGAGATATTTAACACTTCAGATGTCTGGTTCCTATCACCACCACTGTGAAAAATTCTGATTCAGTATATTTCTGTAGCATTAAGTATTTCAGATCAAACTACTCTGAATGTACTTTTTACATCTTAACTGTTGAATAATGTGGACATTTTGTGGAATTCCCTTTTACCTGTTAAACCCAGTAATGTATTATCTGGACAGAATGAAAAACCTGGAGCGAATGGTGAATGAATGGTGTTATTGGAGAACCCTTCCAAAACAGAGAAGCTGCAGAAAAGACGTAACTAATAGAAATTCTACCAAGTTAAAGGTCCTGCATTTCTCTTGTTGCGAGGCGTACAGAGTGCATATTCATGTGTCTTGTTTGTGCATTGCTTCAATCGATCACTTGCAGGAAGGCATACAGATTGAGAGGAGAGGCACTCAGCATACAGAGCACAGCTCAATCCAATCATCCAACCTCCCGTCCATCCATCCATCCATCCAGTCCTATCTTGTAATGCCGTTCCTGCCGACTGTTGTTGTTGTTGCAGTGTGTCAGATAAGACACAGTGGGAAAGAGCAAGACAAATGCACAGAGAATGACTGTCGAAAGAGGATCTCTTTGGCAGTGTGTGAAACAATGGGTAATTAGTCCTCGGCTTAACGAGGAAGAGAAAGCAGCTGCATTGTTTGACTGGCCGAACACAAGCGGCCGACAGCGCCAAGAGGAGAGAGGAGCATTGTTCTCCCTCAGTACAGAGGATGTGGCGGGAGCTGTCACCTGGTGTGTTTGTGTGAGAGAGCTTTTTGGGATGCGAACCTCCAAGTTCAGCCCAATTTCTAATAGTAGAGATGGCACAGTTCTATAAAAACGGTTAAAACTGTTTAAATGGGCTAATTTTAAATGAAGCACTTCACTTAAGTGTTTTCATTGACACTTTATAACCCTACAAGAAGAAGTACCTAGCCAACAACAGGCTTTTTTTAAAATTATAATTCAGTTAAATTCTTAAAAAAAAACAAAACAGAAACATTACTTAGAGTGCAGATGTGTACAAAAAGATTTAAAATCAGGAATATACCTGTACAGGAATTTTAAGCCCATTCTGATATTCTGTATTCTGTATCTGTATTCTGTATTGTATTAAGGGTGTGTGTGTGTACTCGAGGACTTAGTTAGCCATTCATGGTGCCAGTATTTGAATGCTGAAATACTGTTCAGTGTTTCTTACACTCCACATAAAAACAGTAAAAATATACAGGCCTTTCAGTGAAAATCTGAATTTGTGAAAAAATGTGAAAATTTTGCTTGTTTTTGCAAGTAAGTACGTTATGCTGTACTTTGCTACTTTGAAATTCAAGTACCTTAATGTAATGTTGCCAAGGATGCAACTTAGCATGAGACAGCGCGGCTTTATCGCTAAATATAAATATAAATATCGTTCAACAGCTGGGTACCGTTCAAATATATTCCTCTTACAAACTAACGTGTTGGCATGTTCACTGAAGAGGAGAAAAATCTATTAAATGCAATGAGTCTCCATCAGCATCCAGTGTTTTTGGGGCTGAAAGATGAATCTTTTTTTATTATTATTATCATTTTGTTATTTTAATTATATTCTTATATGATCAACTGTATTGTCTTAACAATTGTTGTGGGGAAATTTAACCTAATAACATGGAGCTTGTAATCTGCCTTTAGATGGAGTCAGACCGATAGAAAGCAACCAAATGTGATGTCTCTAAGCTAGCTGCCTGTTTAGGGCACTGCATTCAGCATTCAAGCTTCAAGCGAGAAGAACTGGATTTGCTGGTGTTCTTCAGGCCTTAACTATATTTTATAAAAAATAATATATTTTCAAAAAAGTTGGGACGTTGTGCAGAATGTAAGTAAATATAGGATGCAATGATGTGCAAATCATGTAAACCGTTTTTAAAGGGAAATACTACAAAGACAACATATCAAATGTTGAAACTGAGTTTCAAAATTTTATTGTTTTTTGTAAAATATATGCCCATTTTGAATTTGATGCCGACAACACGTTCCAAAAAAGTCGGGAAGGGGACATGTTTACCACTGTGTTTCATCACCTCTTCTTTTAACAACACTCTGTAAGCGTTTGGGAACTGAGGAGACCAACTGCTGTAGATTTGAAACTGAAATGTTTTCCCATTCTTGTTTGATATAGGATTTCAGCTGCTCAACAGTTCGGGGTCTCCTTTGTTGTATTTTTCATTTCATAATGTGCCCAATGTTTTCAGTGGGTGACTCTTTTAATACAGAGCAATGCTGTTGTAATACATGCAGAATGTGGTTTTACATCATCTTGCTGAAATAATCAAGGCCTTCTCTGAAAAAGATGTCATCTGAATGGCAGCATATGTTGCCAAAACATGTATATATCGTTCGGCATTAATGGTGCCTTCACAGATGTGCACGTCACCCACACCATGTGCACTAATGCATTCCTATAACGTCATGAATACTGGCTTTTGAACTGTGCACTGATAACAAGCTGAGTGGTCTTTAGCCCAGAGGACACAGTGTCCATGATTTCCAAAAAAAATTTCAAATTTTGATTTGTCGGACCACAGAACACTTTTCCAGTTCTCCTCAGTCCATTTTAAATGTGCTTGGGCCCGGAGAAGAAGGCAGCATTTCTGGATCCTGTTTATATCTGGTGTTTTCTTTGCGTTTTAGAGTTTCAACTTGCATTTGTGGAAGCAGCGATGAACTGTTTTCACAGACAGTTTTTTTTAGAAGTGTTTCTGAGCCCATGCAGTGATTTTTCACTATAGAATCATGTCTGTTTTTATTGCCCCCGTCCCAACTTTTTTGGAGCGTGTCGTTGGCATCAAATTCAAAATGGGCAAATATTTCTCAAAAAACAATAAAATATGTTGTCTTTGTACTATTTTCAATTAAATATAGGGTTTAAATGATTTGTACATCATTGCATTTTGGTTTTATTTACATTTTGCACAGCGTGCCCACTTTATTTAGACATGGGGTTGTAGCATTTTAAATCACAATCACAATATTGCCAATTAAATATTTTTCCAAATCGTTTAGCCATAAGTGTTGTAGTAGTTAGCTGTAGTTTTAGCTCAATAGCTCATCTGAGGCAGTCTCTGTTACGTTACTTATCCGACACAAAAAACCTACCAGTTTTCCTTGCCTATTCCGAAATGTATGTCTTCGCATGATGCAAAATGTTTGTGCAGTATCAGTGCTGTCAGCTAAAATGGTAAGCCACAGGTCTACATTAATATCAGCTGTAATCAGTAATGTTTTTTTAACCATTGTTTTTTCTTTCTCTGTGATTTACGGTTCGTGAATTGTTATGGATACTTGTATATCAAAATTAGTCAGAATGCACATCTCTAGTATGTACCTGCCGATGTTGGTACATAAACATTTATAAAATGAAGAAAGTGGGACTAAATCCACCTGGATTAGCATTACAGAGAAATAGAACGTTTCATTCTGTAGAGTTAGAAATACTGTATAAAACGCAGCCGTTTTAGCACAGTAGCCCAACGTTGCTTAAACGTTCAGCTCTTCCAGAAGACAGTAAATACATTATCATATATATATATATATATATATGAAGCATTTAAAATTCACAAAGCACAAAAAAAACCTATTACAGTCTTTTTTGTTCTTGACTCAGTAGAGATGTATTGATTAATGGTCATTACACACCAAAAGAGTTTTATTAGTGGGAATTTTCAGACGTCAGTAAATGAATTTGGATGCGTGTAACTGATGACGTCTTGCACAGCAAGCGTGATTTTCTGCAAAAATGCAACATTTTTTTATTCACCAACTGAGTGATTTTTTTTTTTTTGCAACATTTTCAGGCAACATGAATTTGTTTGACCAGTCACTGTTTTTTCTAACACTGGCATGGCAACAACCAAGATGACCAATCGGCTGTGTTCCAACAACTGGAACTTTTTGACGACTGTCAAAATGATTCCTTTGTCCTCTGCTTCATCACGTATGGTGTAAACATCTTCAAAAGCTCCCAAAACTGAGTTACGGACATCAGAGCTATTTGTGAAAGCACTCATAAATTTTCGGCTCCTAAATGAGGGGGTAGAACATTCCTTGCTGTTTTAGCTTTTCCAGAATGAAAAGTAGCCTGTCCAGTGTCACCATGTACCCACTTTTTAGAGGAGCAAAGCATATTTCTTGTGACTTAAAGGCTGTTTGTAAGAACTGTTGATTTTACATCAGCAAAAGAAAACCCAACTAACATATAATCATGTTTCTTTCGTGTATATTGTTTTAATGGTGAAAAAATCATGTCAGAATATTCTGCATTTTTGTGTTGTTCATTTGTCTTGGGTTCGGTGTGGAGCAGCCTTTAGTTTTCAAAACCTTTCTCATATTTTTTGTCCTCTCGGCTCTGGTGGCTGACTTTCTGCCCTGTTCTTCGGCTGGACAATTTGCAATTATGCGTCTGATGCCACCCAAAAATGACACTCACCAAAAGTACCACTTCTGAAAGCCTTTTCGCTAATGGACTTCCGAAGTCGGAACTGCAGCATGAAGGCGCACATGACCCACTTCTCCCATAAGCCCCTTCTCATGGATGGAAGCAGCTCAGTGAGGGTGTGGAGAATCAATTTGAGCAGAACAGTGGAGTAACTCTGACTGCTGTGGAGGGTCTCCGTATTGCCAGGCTGAAGAGGGGGTGGAGGAAAGCTAAGGCAAATGTTGTTATGGAAGGTTTGTTTTACGACAAGTTGACAAAGACAGAATCTGTTTTACCTCTCAAACGTCATTTCCTGTTTGCTTGTTTCTTATATTATCAGACTTCAATTCGTGAAGGGTACAGCACTGCTTAGTTGAGTGCTTTTCCTATTGTAGCACACTTTAATGAATCCGTAGCTTAACTATAAACGAAATGTGGGTGATATGACAAAACAAATCACGATACTTAAAGATATTTTCACGACACACAATATGATCATAAAATTTAATTTTTCAAAATGGAACCTATATATAATAAAGATAGTAGTAATAAACCTACAACTACAATGATTTTTATTTTATGTTTTATAAACTGTGCTGCACTAAATCCAATTAAACAGGCCCAAATATGCTCTCTTTGTAATGAGACATATGGTTAGTCAGCGTTCTTTCAGTACAAACTATACTCAGAAAAGGACACTGTGACATAATCTATCATGATAATAATAAAATATCTTCATATTGCCCACCCCTAATTGCCATATAAAAAAAGGATTGTGATTGTCTTTTTCGTTCATTGCATCTATCAAGGTACAAACCTAAAGCATGCAAAATAGCTGATTAGCTATATTGCTTTCTAATAAGATGCACCTGGTTCACATTCTGTTTGCTGTGATGTAAACATACAATTGTGAATGCTAACAATTGTGAAAAGTAATTGCGAGCAGCTTAAATAATTATGATAATAATTGCGATCAGGTGATTATGGAATTTTTTGACAGGCCTGTGAGGCATTTTGAGGCAGAATGTCTTGAGTTTAATAGGCTATTTTAAGCAGAACTTCATTGGGATAAATGAGGTGTTTGATGCAGTATTTCTTGCATTTAATGAGGTATTTTAATATAGACGTTCTTGAGATAAATCAGTTGTTTTGAGGCAGTATTTCTTGAGTATAATGAGGTCTTTTGGTAAAAACAGAACAGTTGGCAGTGTTTGATTTCCAAACAGTGCTGTGGATTTACCAGCTCCACTATACGAGATGCTGTTTTCTGAGACATTGTGGCGTACGCTAAAGTTCCCTCAATGCTGCAACATTTTCCAACTGCTTTTGATCTGTCATGCCCGTATCGTGATGTCTCAGTGGAAAAATCTTAACTTCTACACTTTTGAGTGCTCTGGTTGAGTCAGGCTACGGCTGCTTATCCCATCCGGACGCACTGTAAGTCTCTTCATTTTCTGTTCTCGCTGCAGAGAGCGTCAGGGATGCTGTGGGGAGGAAGATCAAGCTGGCGGTTAAGAAGAGAGTTAAACTGGAGATCAAAGGGGACAAGGTGGAGAACAGAATCCTGGTGAGTTATGCGGACCCCGTCCTCCTGTCTGCATTTTAATATCCCCCTCTCTCCCTCCTCTTTTCCTTTCTTTCTATTCTGTTGCGAGAATGCAAAACAGTACTTACATGCCCCTTCCTCTCTTACACTCTCTTGCATTTGATTTCCGGCATGTTTTCAGGATCTATGTTTCTCACTCCAATACTTACACACAGACTCTCCCTTGTTTTGAGTGGTCCTTAAAAGAGTAATTGGGTGAAACATCAAACTTGGCCTAATTTTATTTGATCAGCCAAGACATGTTTGCGTCTTTAGTTAAATATAGATAATAGGCTAATATAGATAATAGAAGGTTAGCCCTGTGCAGACTGCATGCATAAATCATCACACACATCAAACTGCATGGAGTTGTTCATTGATCTAAAATCAACTTGTTTATGTGATTTCTGACACTGAGTGATGTACTGTTTATGATTTATAAAAAAAAAGGTCAAAAGTATAGGCAAAATTCAGGCATTAAGATGGCTGCGCCCAATATCTTATTGCACTGGTGCATTTTAATACTGTTATTTTTATAAAACAAGCCATTTACATTTTTATGGATTTTTATTTTTTCACCCCGTAGTCCACATGTGACGTTTATGTACCAAAGACAGCTTTTCATCGTGACACACAAGTAGTTTCCAGTGTCTCTTAGAATTGGACAAGCTGTATTTGTTACTATGTCTTTAAGATATTGCATATGTAAATAACCTGTGTTCTGATTGGCTGCTCTGTATTGTGCCTCGTTCGAAAAACAGTACACATTGGAAACACTCCTTATAACTTCAGTGTCAGTGGGCGGGACTAAACTTCTGTGGGCTGAATTGGTGGACATATGTAAATGAGTTGGTTTCTGTAACATTAACAAGCAGTTCAAAACAGGCAGTTTTTGCAGGTTGCAGTTGATTTTCATATTTGGACGGCATATACTGAGGTGTGATTAGTATATTTTAATATTTTAACAATGTGTACATACTACGTTAAACTTTTATTAAAAAAAGCAGAGAAAAATTGGTTTTCGATGATATGAGATTTTAATAGTATGTCGTATCCTGTCAGAAGTTACATAAGTAAGCAAGTCTTGGAGACTATTTGAGGTTACTTAATGATTGACACAGTTTGAGGTAAGCATGTGAATGTTTAGGCATGCAGTTTGCACTAATTGCTGAGGTATGAGCTTCCATTACTAGTTAGCTGCTCAAAACTCCAGAGCAAAACTAAGGAAACAAAGTTTGAACACCAAGCATGTCTTGGCTGATTAACTACAGAATTGTGTGAATTCGATGTTTCACCTGACTTGCACCAGTGCTATGTGAAGCTGCTCTTGGGAATTCCCACTGGCAGGATTCTCAGGCTGAGCTGGAGTGATAGCTGCTTGGTTTGGGTGCTCTCCTGTAGCGCATTATCACCTGTGCGAGCTCGTTTAACAGAAGCAGGTGTCTCAGCTGGAAGAAACGTCCGAAAAAGCTCAGCGCTGAGGAGCTATTGGCAGTGCTTTGCCTGCTAGTAGCGATGTGGCTGGATTTTCCGCTTGAAGGCCTGTCAGGTAGCTGTCAGAAGCATTTTGGGGCTCTGTTGAGTGGTTATATCAGAGCTCCGCTGGGTCCTGTGAATGTAGGTGCTGTCAGTATGTGTGACATATGGTTGATGTAGTGAATGTGCTTGTAATGAGCCAGTGCTGCTTTTGGGTACTGTCAGTATTAGAGGGGATTTGGAAGGATGACAATAACAAGGATAAAAATAACACAAAAATCCTGGCTTTTCCACTCTCACCATTAGTGGGTCAGGGTCTCAGTCCTGAGGTTATGGTGGAGGACTGTTCAGTGATGTGATTGGAAAGCAGCCGGACCTCAAGCCTCTTTAGTGTTATTAATAGATCTGGAGCTCAGCTGAGTCCACATTGTGGTGCAGCGTTGCCTACAGTGCTGCGTCAGTGTGGGAGCAGTGCCTTAACTCAGACAGAGAGGCTACAGTGGAAGGTTGTGGGGTACTCTGTAAGCAGAACCTAATAAAGATCTCTTTAATTAGAGCTTGGGTTTCTAGAGTCAGGTCAGCATTGGTGATTGGCAGAGGGGAAACCTCAGGGCGTGAAGGCCTAATGATTTCTAAAAAAAAACTGTGAAGTTTTGATTAATTTTATGCAACAGAATCATCATGCTGTGTTTTAACTCTGCGAGTGCTGTAGAAATACTTTTATTTCATTGTTACATTTTAGAAAATTATCCAATCAGATTTTTTTCCCCCATATGGTTTCTAGGTAGATACAGCCATGCTACCTCTCCCATTGGTTAGGAGCTGAATTGAAGGCCTAACACAACAGATTAACCAGTAACATAATTAAAAAGTGACCATATTTAGAGTCTCAGTGGGTGGGGCCAAATATGTCAGTAAAAACTAGCTTAACCAACGCATTTGGAAATGGAATACAGAGGCTCTGTGTCAGGACTTACTGAAGGGGTCCCTGTGATACAACAACATACAAGTTAAAATAAATGTAATGTCTCTTCAAATAAAACATGGAATGTCTTTAGCTTTAATTGTCAGTGTTGAATCTAGAGCAGCTAAAAAGTGTTTATGTGCATGGCCCTTTGCTTAGTGCAGACACACTACTAGAATTTATGATGATAGCTAGCAGAAATTAACATTATCATACAGATGTTTTTTGATATTTATGGCCCAAATTAAAGGCCTAGCTCTAACAGTCATGGTTTTCCACTGGTGATAGGTGTTATGCACAGTTTGAACAGATTCTTGGCTTTGTGTTTAGGCAGTTTGGGGGGCATTAACTTGTTAATTATGCTTGTGTTCACTTTAGGGGTAGACATGGTTATTGTATTTATGGATCTCCAGACTCATTTTAAAGGGCATTTCTGGTCTTTGAGAGTAAACAAAGTCTGAGTGCTTTGATGTGAAATGATGAATTTGAGAAATGTACTGGTTTGTGTTTCTTTACAGTGGTGGTGATGGTCACAATGTCTACAACCCAAATATAACCGTTTTATTTATTATCCAAAACCACCAGTGAACCTACACAAACCTACACCAGTATATTCTATAGAACATTTCACATCAAACCACTCTGATTGACTTCGTTTAAGACTTAATGGCAGAATTATGCATAAATGATGAGACATTAGTGGAATTCTATCAGTTAAAAAGGCAGGTTTATCATTCAAGTTGAAGAACGCTTTTATATTGCATGCATGAGGGCATAATAGGCAACTGGCCCCACTGTATAGGTCTACTAAAAATGAAATGCACAGCTAAATATAGAGGGAAGACACTTTTTGGAAGGACAATGATAAACCACACAGGTTTATCCACAAGTGATATATTAGACAACTGTTCTGTTAGTTAAAGGTGTGGTGGACGGCAATAAACACCCATCCTTAAAATGATTACAGTACCCATCCCTTTACTGTAATGTGAAGTTTTATATTTATGGAAAGTTCTAGCTCCGTCTGTCCATCCACTTATCTGTCTGTCTGTCTGTCTGATGGTACTGGACTTTATTGTGGCACATCAAACCGGTAAATCTTCCCACGCACACAGATCAGTGTCATGCTGGGACTTGTGTTCACGGACTATGATAAATAGTGTGGAAGTGAGTGTGTGAGAGAAACAGAGTAAGAGGAAAAAAAAACATTGCTGGAATTTCCCTGGAGTTCACTCTAAATTCCATGGTGGTTCCTGAACCATGAGAATAAAACGCTGACTCTCCCGCTGCCCTGTTAAAAATTACTGAGCAAATAAATGCCCCATTGCAGTAACTGTCGGCTCAGGACCCAGATAACCATTGGGCGGAAGTGGCAGAAAACAAAAACAAACAGCCAGGCCCACTTTTATAGTCTTGCCCACGACTCCCAGCATGCTGCTGGATGTTTTGGTGACCTTCTCTGTGGACCGGCTCTGAGGGGGTTCCTAGTGTAGATATATGTGAAAACACTGCACTAAACACAGATTTGCACATTTCTCCCTTCACTTTAAATGTAGTCTGTAAGCAAAGATGTGTTTGTTGCCTGAAGTTTACATCTGTAGTTTTTCACTGCTGTGTGAGTGGTATAGCAAACAAGTAATCAAAGTTTATTACCACCATTTAGCTTTGCACAAACCGAATGTCTACATCATTCCATGCTCTTCTCAGACAGTGTTGTGCTGTTAAGTCATCTAAAATAGTCTTGCTTATGTGGTTTCTGACACTGCATAGCATATTTGTATATATGTATAAAAAATTGTACTTATGTATAAAGATTGTTACAAATACCTACACAATTCAGGTTTTAAGCAGAGCTGGGCAATATGGCAAAAGTGTAATATCACGATACATAAATCTTCAATTATTATCCAATCCAATTATTTATATTAAACATTTCACACACTAACCGGACTAATTCTACTCTCTTTTTCATCAAATAAGAAGTCAGGAAGTACTGACGATGTCCACAATATCCTCAGAAAAGCATATTGTGACACGTTATGATGTATTTTATCACAATAACAATAAATATTGTCCAGCCCTAGTTTTAAGATGGATGATGCTTCTGTTTTTGACATCATGCAGATTTAATTTTTTGTGTGCAGTGTATATACACTGTATATCCAAAAGTATCTAGACACCCTTTCTGCTAATTCAGCTAATTTACGGTTCTGCCACAGGCAACAGGCTTGCATTAACCCCATTAACCCCCGGGGGTGGGGTCTATTGATATCCTTGATTTTGTAAGAAACATTGGACGAGTGGGTGTCTACAAACTTTTGGACACGTAGCATAATTATTGTATGCCTAATTCTAGACTACAAAGAATTTTAATTGTTATTCAACATTGCCGTTGCTGTTTAGTCCAAGACTAGCTGTGCAAATACCATAATCAGCAGGTCAGAAACAACAAGAACATTACCATAAGTCATCCTCACGTAGCATAATTACAACCCTTTAAAAGCAGTTCCTCGTATATATTAACCATCCATGAAGTGCTAGA